AATCCCGTCGAACCGCCTCCTATAATACCAATCTCAATTGAATTTTCAGTCATCTGACCTTCAAACCCTTCTTTGAGAGTAAGAATGGAAGTATGGACCGCATCTTCAAGTTCCATCTCTTCATTATATCTAATAAATATGTGTTCATATAACCAATCGTTCATTATATAAGGTACATGAATATTAATCATGGATTTATATATACCGTTTTTCCAAAAACGTCTTGGCGTTGACCATATTCTTCCCAATCGCGGACGCTTTCCATGCCCAATATGACCCTGACGGATCGACTTGGTATAACGCCGGACCCGTATTATCATCATATCCGGCAATTAAGAGGGAAACCCCAAAAGGGCGTACACCACTGCGAATCGAAGATTCAATTCGGATTAAGAAGCCTTAAGTTTAAAAATACTACAGGTCAATGCCGTTCCACGTACCCCCTCTGAGTGAATTCTTGCATAACACTTGCAACCTCTTTAACCAGAATGTTTGTTGGAGGGTATTCGTTGTAAACTCTTTTATACTTTTGCGCGGCTTTCCTTGCTCTACTTAGTAACACCCGAAAATCAGGACCCATTCCAGAATAGACAATACCGATATTCGGGCAGACATTAGCAACTTTTTCGAGTGAAGAATCATCAATAAGTGGTGAGGCTGTTTTCTTTTCGGTAGCAATGACAACCCCATTGGTCGCTATTCGTTAAAATAAAGCTTTAGTCAAAGTAAATTGAAACAAGTTTTATTATGTGAAAAGTTGATCCGGTAGTACCTTTGATCCCGATACTGGTGACTCCTTGAGCTACTGCGTTCAAGGCATATTCAATTTGCACGAGTTTTCCTGTCGGCGAAAAAGTAGTCAAGGAAAAGCTAATTCAAAAGTAAATAAGCGTTTTAATGTTATTTTCAACATTACGACATTGTAGTTTTTTTTACCTATAACGGTCCGACATTATGCTTAGAAAAAGTGAAGTCGGTGAATGATTATTGAGTTAAATTTAAGTGTATCACTTACGTAATCGCTTACGTTGATTGGGTGATCAAAATTTTTGAATCTTTTTTTTACAGATACGTCGAAAACTTGAGAGTGAATCTTTTTCCTCTCATTTGTCCAAGAATGACTCATGTCAATACCGTATTTATTGACGGACCTTTGGAGGTGCAGGTGCGTCGAAATTTTTTCTTGGGCTGTTGAAGGATGTTAAAAAAGAGGTTGATTGCATCAATGATTTTTTGGTTTCAATATGAATTAAACCAAGGAAATATATATTTTTTGCAATTTAGGCGCTTGAGTATGCAAGTTACATTTCAAAGCTTAAAGGCGAGCCTGAAGAAGATGGCCCTTTCGTAAAAAAGACAACCGATTTATTGAATGAAAAAAATCTAGAACAGATTTATCAAAACTTTGCAGAAACAACTTCGATATTGCTGGACGCGCCCGAAAAAGGTATTCAATAGACCACAGGAGGCCAATTGGGTATTTTGTAAAATGATTCCAATTAGGGTTATATATTTAATTATAAAAAAGTTTCATCAGCGAATTCTATAGATAATAAACTTTTCTCATACATGATCTCACCATTTTAATCTTTTATTATAACGTTTAAAACAGAATTTGAAGCAATATATAATCTCTTGATCGCAATATTAAAATCTTCTTCGCCTCAAACACATCCAACCTTAATAAATTCATCCATTAAAATCTTAGTTAATGACGATCGCGATAAGGCTATCCAGAAGCTAAAAGTGTTAGTGCGTTAATATAACTTTCTAGTTATCATCTATATTTTTTAATAATAAAGAACTATTTTTTACATGCAGTCTCCAAAACTTATATAACACTTTGGAATATACATCACCCCTTCGCTATGACGTGTTTATCGCAATACTTAATATAGCTACCAAAAATGATGAGATCGATACCGTATTACCACAATTATCACGTTTGGAAACATGGGTGAAAGAATGGTCAATTACCAAAGAGCAGGTTCGGGAGCTTTATTTGACTGTTTCCGACAAATTAAAGGAAGTCGGGGAAGTGTATGTGATCATGTTGACGAATATGATTGACATATTACGAGAATTAGGAAAAATCTAGCTAACAGCATTATAATAAATCACACAGTAAACGATCTCACGATTTCCTGTTAAAATACCTTGCAACATACACTTCGTCCGAAGATCTTTCCGTGATTAGACCTTTTGCATGCAGGGCAATAACCGAAGCTATTCAATTACCCGAAATTTTGAACTTCGAAGATTTACTAAAGCTAGATACTATCCAAGCACAAAAGGGCGAAGAACTTTTTGAGCTGTTGAAAGTTTTTTTAAGCGGCAATCTGAAAGAATATAAAGTCTTTGTTGAGGGGAAACCGGGTGTCATTGAAAAACTTGGTAAGATAATAAATAATATAGTGCTGTCTAATATTTTCATATTAGGATCGATGGGTTGAATGTTATAAATAAACACAGGACTTTCGAATGAGGATAACATACGCAAGATTCGTTTATTGACTTTGGCTTCTCTTGCATCGGAACATGTTTCGCGCGAAATTACATATCAAATGATTGCAACGTCTCTTGAAATCGAGGAAGATGAAGTAGAAATGTGGACAATTGATGGTAATTAATTATCATTTCGATTTTTCCCGTACGAACTTTGCAACTTAAATGATTCTATTACTTACTTAGTAATTCGAGCAAATTTAATCGAAGCCAAGGTTAACCAAGTGCGTAAGACTATTCTAGTAAACAGATCAACATATCGAACATTCACCATGGAACAATGGCAACAATTATCTGATAAGCTTGAAGGTTGGAGACAATCCCTAACCGATATTTTGCAGGTCATTGCTAATGCCAAACTAATTGCCCAGAATTCAAATGTAAGCGCGAATATTGCATCCGGTTCTTCTGTGGTTGTCGTCGAAGGTG